GCAGTCACTTGAGGCCAATCTGCAGTCAGCCGTCGTCAATCGGAAAGAGCCCATGTGCTTTGGCATGCCTTTTCGGCGCCGAGGTGGGCCAAATGAATGCATCATCTTTTAACCCTTTTGCGCACTTGAGCGCACACACACTAGCTCTGATAACACATGCGGACCACGCTAAGACATCGCACGACTGGGTGAACTCGACTGGACCTTCCAAAAGCGCGGTGCCCAAACATTGAAGGGTCCCGCCGCCTCTTTTCAACGGTCCCATCCATGCCTTGGGCAAAGAAACAGTGACAAGTTTGTGTAGTGTGTGGCCGCGGTACGTCTCCCAGGTAGAGCTATGTACACACTACATGTATTAGACGACGCAGTTAATACGAGGCTCAAAGTCAACAAATGTCTCTCACTCGTCCCCGAGCCGCCGCCGCTGAACGCAGAACTCGGCTGCACCATATATTGTCTCGTCCTCGTCAGTCTTTTGTAACTCCCTGCTCCTGCCCCCCCGCCCTTCCACACTTGGGCGTTTTCTACTCTCTCGTATGACCATGGTGATGGCTTCCAACCGACATGTGCCTTGTTTCAACTGATACAGAGCGTGCATTTGGTTCGTGGCGTCGAGTGTGAGCCTCGTGCCTCCAACTGCACCTGCTGACCCAGAGTGCTGACCCCGCCGTCCATTCGCTGGTCCGCTGATCTCTCGACGGGCTGCTTATTGCAACACCACCTTCGACTTTCCCATTGACGACGGCGTCATTTTCCCTGTCGGTTGTGTCAACCCGTCGTTCACTGTCTCTCGACGCTCGCTGGATCGAGCACCACCCGCGAGACGGTGCTGGCGATTGCAATAACAATACTTCATCTCTTGTTTTTTATCTGTTATGAATTGATGTCTGTCCACTGGCTCTTCCAATACTCGACCTCTTTTACCAGTGGCATCACCCATCTTATCAGTCGGAACCCCACGTACTATCGGCGACATTCCGCGGGGAACTAGGAAAACGCCCAAACAGCGTTAACAAGCGACTCTGAATAAAGAGGAAGAGGAGGAGAGAGGGACCAGGAAAAAAAAAGGGAAAAAAGAAAAGGAAAAAGGGCATCTCAAGAACCCCTATTTTGCACCTGGCAGCAACCAAAAAATGGCCGCCGTCATTGACAGAAATATCGTGACTTCGGTCCCAATGTCGAATGGCGATGCTACCCCCACATCCCCCGGCACACCTGTCAATGGGAAAGGCCGCAAACGGTTGCTTCGCGGACTACAACGAATATCCTCGTCCCCGTCGTTGAATAGCCTGCGTCGCTCGAGGTCAGCCAACAGTCCGTACACCACCCGAGGCACGCTTTCTTGTGTTAGTCTAGCTGCTGTCGGGCCTCCCCAGACTCCGTCCAGTGCCAGATCGTCTACTCCTCAACCGTCACCACTTGGCCTGCCGAGCGCCCCGATTTCGCTCTCGCCGACATCAACCCACGAATTTCCCTTATACGACAACATCGAAGGCCCCCTTTCTGTCCGTAAAGTGGACAACATTGATCAAAATGGGCCACCCGCGACGGCGACCGTTCCTGCTGGCCTTGGATTCGCCAAGCAAGAAGGGCTAGCCAAAGCGCTGGCAGCGGCAAAAGCACCTCCCAAGCCCGCGTTTCCGTTCTGGGACAAGATGCCGCACGAGCTCCGCGTCCAAATCTTCTCATTTCTTCGGCCGAAAGAACTTGTTCAAGCTTCGAGAGTCAGCAAATCATTCTATAGGTTCTGCTTTGATGGACAGCTTTGGCCATCCCTCGATGCGTCTGAATTCTACCAGGACATTCCGGCTGAGTCACTTGCCAGAATTGTTGTGGCCGCTGGCCCATTTATCAAGGATTTGAATCTTCGAGGTTGTGTGCAGGTAGAGCACTATAAGCGCACAGAAGTCATCGTCAAAGCCTGCAGGAACTTGATGAATGCTACGCTGGAGGGCTGTCGAAACTTTCAAAAGACTACTCTGCACACTCTATTGAGGACCAATGATAAGCTAGTCCATCTCAACTTGACAGGTTTGTCTGCCGTGTCAAACACGTCTTGCAGAATTATCGCCGAGTCATGTCCACAGCTAGAAACATTCAATGTGTCCTGGTGCGACAAGGTGGAAGCCAAGGGGATCAAAGTCATTATCGAATCATGCCCCAAACTGAGAGACCTGAGGGCTGGCGAAGTCCGGGGCTTTGATGATATTTCGACTGCCGAGACTATCTACACTACCAACAATCTTGAGCGTCTAGTTCTTTGCGGATGTGTCGAGCTGACCGATGACGCCCTCAAAGTCATGATGCAGGGCATTGACCCAGAATTCGATATTCTGACCGAGAGACCTATTGTTCCACCACGGAAGTTGAGACACCTCGACCTGAGTCGATGCAACCGCCTGTCCAGCGCCGGCGTCAAAGCCATCGGCTACGCAGTGCCCGAACTAGAGGGCCTTCAGCTTTCTGGGTGCAAAACGCTCACTGATGGTGCACTCGAGCCGATTCTAGCATCTACACCTCGGCTTACACATCTTGAGCTGGAGGATCTCGAAGAGCTTACCAACGCTCTCATGTCTGAGCACCTTGCCAAGGCTCCCTGTGCAGAGACCTTGCAACATCTTTCAATAAGCTACTGTGAAAATATCAGCGATGTCGGCATGTTGCCCGTGCTGCAGAAATGTCTGCGCCTGAAAAGCATCGACATGGACAACACACGAATCAGCGATCTCTCTCTAGCAGAAGCCGCAGCCATGGTAAACAAGCGTTCAAAGAGATCGCTCCAGGCAAGTGACCGACCACAGGTTACCCTACAGATGGTCGTGTACGATTGCCAAAACGTGACTTGGACTGGCATCCGAGAAGTTCTGTTTCGAAATGCCCAAATCAGACCAGCTGCCGGGGAGCCAGGAAAAGTGACATATCCTACAGAAATTGTTGGCCTCAAGTGCTTCTACGGTTTTCAGATGACCGTCGACGAGCATCAGATGCGTGTATTACGAGGAGACCTCTTATCCGCCAGCAGGCTGGAGAGGAAATGGGCAGACTACATGCAAGCCAACGAGGAGGCTGGAATGGGAGGTGCAGGACACCGACGACGACGACGTCGCGCCAGAGAAGCTCATGCCCAGCACATGAATGAAGAAGACGGCGGCTTTGTGGGCCGTCGACGAGCACGAACTATGGGAGCTTGTTCGGTAATGTAAGAAATTCAAGGCCACGACGATGGAAACAATTCGGAAATCTGGTTTGTTATTTCACAGTGGCGCAACGGCTTTCCGATAAAACAACGACAACAATCACCGGGATTGTCTCAATTTCCTGAATGTCTCATTGGCATGGAGCCTGTCAGAATGCAGTTTGTTTACTCCGTAGAAGGATTGTCTTTGGGCGTTCTGGGCCGGTACGGTTGATCTTTTTGGACAAGATCGTATCATCATCAATCATCATCGGAGGCTATTGTCACATGTCACTTTTGGACAGTCTACACCTGAGAGGACTAGTACTTTGCTCAGAAACTGATCTGATTCCCTTGCCCAATCTTCTTCTGTCCCTAGTTTTTTCTTTCTTTTACTCACTCACACCGGAAGGAAAGGAATCTCTGCCCCAACGGCACTCACATAGCTAGGAGTCATGCATGGCCTGCGTTACATAGATCAAGTTTAGGTCGAAATGGAACAGTTTGCTTCACACGGTAGTATTTACTCATCATTCTTCAGTAGATCGGTGGAACGGGAAACCCTTCTGTGCCGTTCGGAATAAGGAAAAAAAAGGGCATTGTTCGCTCTGGAATCATGGGCCATCTCTTCATGCGGGACGTCGCAAATTGCAGGCCAGCTGTCATATATCCCAAAACGCCACATTTCTTCATAATGCACAGGCCATGATAACTGGAAAAAAGGGGGGGGGGGGGGGGGGGGCATCTGGAG